AGATTTTCAAGTTTTTATAGATCTGTCGATCTACATTATTTTTGAAGCTTTAAACTTTATAAATAAAGATGAAAATACATTTTCAAAATATCACAAAGATCTCCAATATTGAAACCACATTTCACGATACTATTTGCATATAGTTTCTAATTTGATTGTTTGGAGCCTAGGCTCTACACAAACCGTGCCCTTTTAATATTATCTTGCAAGATAACTTAGTCAACCCATGGATTCCTTTTTATAAAGAGAGACATAGTCAACCTCTCCAATTTACGTTATTTAAAATTTATCTAATTTTTATTATTTTTACATTCATATCTATTTTTTTCTCAATTTTTTAGAAAATACCATTCTTTTATTTTGGATACGCAAGATCTAAAAGTTTACAGTTTTGATATTTTATTATTTTTAATAATTTTCAGATATTAAATATCCAAATAACTAGAATACAAATAACTAACCGACACAAGTGCAATACTTTAGCGGAATGGGGTTGCGGCATTAGGTGGCAAGATGATGTGAACATAATCTCCCACCCACCATTCTTACCATTTTTATATATATAAAAACAATATTTTAGAAAATTGAAATATATTTTAGAAAACTAAGACTCCCATGTCATGAGGAAGAATTCTAATTTAATGGTCATTTTCTGCAGGATTTTAATATAGGAAAAAATTATATAGAGTCGAGGCTCTAATTTGATACAATCAAATTAGAGCCTACCTCAAAATTGACACTAGAAGAGGTTGTTTTGATGACAAAATATCCTCAAATTGATCATCCCAACATCGAGATGCATGGACATGAGAACAAAATGCATTTCAAGTTTTGGAAATAGGTATTTTGTAATGCATTTTTGAACTGTCAATTTTCAAGATTTTCAAGTTTTTATAGATCTGTCGATCTACACTATTTTTGAAGCTTAAACTTTATAAATAAAGATGAAAATACATTTTCAAGATATCACAAAGATTTCCAATATTGAAACCACACTATTTGCAGATAGGTTCTAATTTGATTATTTGGAGCCTACTCTACACAAACCGCGCCCTTTTAATATTATCTTGCAAGATAGCTTAGTCAACCCATGGATTCCTTTTTATAAAGAGAGACTTAGTCAACCTCTCCAATTTACGTTATTTAAAATTTACCTAATTTTTATTGTTTTTACATTCATATCTATTTTTTTCTCAATTTTTTAGAAAATACCATTCTTTTATTTTGGATCTGCAAGATCTAGAAGTTTACAGTTTTGATATTTTTATTATTTTTAATAATTTTCAGATATTAAATATCCAAAAAAAATTTAAAAACAGAAATTTACAAGCTAAAGAACTTTGTAATATTCAAAATCAAGTAAAAATATAAAATTTCTTGGCTACATAAATTTTCATATATTTAAAGTCCAAAAAAATAAAAAAATATGAAATTTTTGGGCTAAATAAGTTGTCTGATATTCAAAATCCAAAATTGTCAGAATTTTTTGAATATGCAAATTTATTAAAAAAAATAAACAAATAAAGAAATGTATAGTTTCTGATCTTAAATATCCAAAATATAAGCAATTTGGTCTTTTTTAAAATTTTAGAAAAGGGATACCAATGTAAAAATAGAAAAAATTAGGTAAATTACAAATAACATAGACGAAAAAGTTTGTATAGAGCCGAGGCTCTAAGCAATTAAATTAGAGCGCACCCCAAAAATTTCACTAGAAGAAGTTGTTTTGATGCCCAAATATCCTCAAATTGATCATCTCGACATCAAGATCCATGGACATGAGAAAAATGTGGATTTCAAGTTTTGGAAATAGTGCATCTTGTAATGTATTTTTGGACCGTCAATTTTCAAGATTTTCAAGTTTTCATAGATCTGCACTATTTTTTAAGCTTTAAATTTTATAATTAAAGATAAACATATATTTTAAGGCTATCACAAAGATTTTCAATATTGAAACCACATTTTTAGACACTATTTGAAGGTGTGCTCTACTTTTATTGTTTAGAACCTCGGCCTATACAAATTGCACCCAAACATAAAATACTAGGGGATATATATGTAGTTAGGAATAATGGGCATTATTTTATGAGAATAAAGTAATGTCTCATGTTGAATCCTCGTTCAGAAAGCGTTTTGGGTATTGGAAATCTCTATGATAGCTCTGAAATTAATTTCCAACACTGACTATAAAATTTGAAGCTAAAAAATGTTGTAGATCTTACGGATCAATGAACACTTAGTTTTAGGGTGAAATGGACGATCCAGATGTATGTTACAATACACACTATTTGTAGGGCTTGAAATCCTAATTTGATTTCAAAACCATATTACTCAGGACTGAGATGATGAAGGTTTTTCGATACCAAAACTGGAATTTTCATTAAGTTTGGAGGTGAGACTTTACTTATTTTGATACGGGTCAGCCCTATCAAAACATTTTTTTATTTGAAATTGTTATATTTACTTAAAAGTATAATGTTTACATTTTAGTTATAAAAAAATTAGTAAATAAACCTATGAGATTATCAGTAATGTATAAATCTATTTTTATTACAATATAGTGTAATTTTTTTATAAATTATTTTCTTGTAAATATATAAAAGAATATAAGTTCTTTACAACAATGTAATATATGAATTTTTAATACTTAATTTTAATAATATATATTGAAAATATATACTATGAGACTATTTACTTTTGATACAAGAAAGTCACAGTCATTATTAACTATTAGATTTAAAATCGAGTAGCTAAGGATATGTAATATTGCTATCTTTATGGATAGATTAGGTTTTTCAAAACTTCCATACTGAGAAATTAAAACATTTGAAAAGGGTGTGGTTTGCATAAGATTGCAAGCTTAAGCAATCTAATTAAGGCACACCTCTAACTTTTATTATAAATGTAATTTTAATATAAAAAAACTCTTACTATTTTCATCTTAAATTATAAAATTTTAAACTCTAGAAATGATTCAAATCAAGATGATCTAAAAACACATGACAAACTTGAAAATCGACAGTCCAAATAATGTGTTACAATATACTATTTCGTGGACTCGAAATAGTTCTTTTCGTTTTATATTCATACATCTCGATATTAAGATGATCAATTGGACGGTTTTCCAACATCCAAACAACCTTATATGATCTATTTTTTAGGTTAATTCTACATTTTAAGGTTGCAACCTTATATAAACTTTTTCTTTTTTTAAAACATTTGCTTAAATTGTGACGAATAATATCTAATTAAAATTACATAAAAATATGGAAGGTCCTATAACTGTAGGTTTATAACTAAGTAATTTCTTTTGAGAAGTAATTCTTTTAAGTGTTATCTTGCAATTTGAGATTGTTATATTAATTAAAGCGTAATATATAGATTTTCGAAAAATTACAAATAACGTTCAAGACTTGACTTTCTATGCAAGCTACCCCAAACAAACTTCTTTTCTCACTTTTTACCTTAAAATATACTTTCTTAGCAAATACCCCCTATTTTAAAAAAAAATCTAAACTACGCTCCCTTACTTTTACCTATGCCTCTCTCTCTTTTTCCATGAAAAAAGCGGTCCGGAATATTCTTAGGGCGGTTCGGCAGTATAATGTCGGCCTAGTTAATAACAGTAGCGGTCAGGCACTAACAAAGAATGGTCCAACAATAGGCCCATGCAGTCCGGCACCGCCAAAGAGCAGTCCGATAATAGGCACATGCGGTTCGGCAATAGGCCCATACGGTATGGCAATAAGCCCAATATGCGGTCCGACAATGTCAAAGAGCGGTCTGACAGCCCATATAAGCACAGATGAATATCCGGCCAAAATTAAATTTTTATGTATGAAAAAGTGTATTTTCGTTAAAGAAAAAAGTATATTTTTTTACTTGGGAGTATTTGTTAGAAAAGTGTATTTTGGGAAAAAAAAGTGAGAAAAAAAGTTTGGTTGGGTGTATTATTTGTAATTTTCCTAGATTTTAAATTTTAAATTTTAAAAACTAAATTTTCATAAATGAAGTAACAACCATGTGGTAGGTTCACCTCTCGAACTTCCCCCCTCAATATTATATTCAGAGCCACATCGGCCCAAGATGCTATTACAAAAAAATAAAATAAAATAAAACATATACGTGTTTATTTTAAGGGGTTCAAAAATTAAACTGTACGACTGTCGTAAAATTGGTCCCATGGGGCGACCAAAAACGCGCAATGCATCCGTAAAAATTAGTAATGTTTGGCATGTCTGTCGAGATTAAATCACTAATCGAATCCGCCGGTCGCCTGTCTCCACTCGGTCTTAGTGGGTCCCTCGACACTCCCAGTTTGACCTGGAATGGTCCTGCAGGTGCATTTTGTTTACTTACTCCACGGCATGAAAACGCTATTTAGAAGGGGTTTTGTGCACATGAAACCTGCAGGATCACTTGACACTTGAGAAAGACCATAGGATTAGTTTATGGGGTGTGGTTTTTATAAAGTTGCAAACTTAAACAATCTAATTAAAGTGCACTTCTAAATTTTATCTGAAAATTTATTTTCATATCTAATTATAAAATTTTAGTTTTCAAACACACTTAAAATCATGTAGATCTATAAACATATAAAAATTTTGAAAATGGACGGTCTTGATAAGGTATTGCAATATGTACTATTACACAGTTAAAATCATGTAGATCTATAAACATATAAAATTTTTGAAAATGGACGGTCTTGATAGGGTATTGCAATATGTACTATTTTTTAGACTCAAAATATTTGTTTTTTTTATGTTCATACATCTCGATATCGAGATAATCAATTACAAGGTTTTTCAACCTTAAAACAATATTTTCCAATGGATTTTGGAGGTACATATCTAATTCTACATTTTAATATAAACTTTTGAAAAAAAAAAAAATTGATTGGCGAGTTCTTTTACACTTAGATCGTGATGCCGACAGCCTGTGTTCAATTGAGGACATAATTCCTAGAGCATAAATAAGAAGGCAAGGGGCACAGTGGGGGATAGTTGGATTAGGTTAGAGGAAGGATTGGAGAGTGGAGAGATGGAGGTTCTTTGGGCGCTTGCAGTGGGCTTGACCACTTTGGTGGTGGTGCGGAGGTGGTGGTGTGCAAAACACCGCGGAGAGGGCCCGAGGCTCCCTCCGGGGACCAGGGGATGGCCCCTCGTAGGAGAGACCCTCCAATTTTTTGCTATATTCGGCTCAGAAAGCACCGAAAGCTTCATCGTAAAAAAGATGCAAAAATACAAAACTCAGGTCTTCAGGACCCAAATCCTGGGCAGTCCAATGGCGGTATTTTGCGGAGCCACCGGCAACAAATTCATCTTCTCGAACGAGAACCGGGTGCTTGTAACCTCATGGCCAACCTCTGTAGCAAAGCTCTTCGGAACCTCCATAATAACCACTGCCGGAGACGAGGCCAAGAGGGTTCGAAAGCTCCTGATGGCTTTCTTGAGTCCAGAAGCACTCCACAAGTTTGTTGGCCAAATGGACTCCGCGGCACGACTGCACCTTAAAAGAAACTGGGATGGGAAAGCTGAGGTAAAGGTCTACCATATGTTGAAGGTCTATACCTTCTCCTTGGCCTGCAGCCTGCTCGCCAGTATAGAGAGCGAAGAGCGAAAAATGGAGCTATCAGCACTCTTCAATGTCTTCCTCCAGGGGATGATGCATATGGACCTGAAAATCCCGGGAACAAGATACTACAAGGCTAAAAAGGCCGTCGATGCCCTTCGAAGAGAGCTGAGGAAGGAGGTGAATGGCAGGAAGGAGGCTCTACGGGCCGGAACAGCAAACCCGAAGCAGGACTTGATGTCGTATTTGCTCACCACCGCCGATGACAGCGGCAAGTACATGAGTGATGAGGAGGTTGTAGACAATATCATCAACCTGCTCTTCGCCGGACATGACACGAGCAGCTCCACCCTGTTGATGGTGCTCAAGCACCTAGCCGAGAAGCCTTACTACTACAATGAAATCCTCAATGGTACTCTCTCTCGCCATATCTATTTAGTTATATTTTTTCCTTTCTTTTTTTTTTTATATTTATTAGATTAAACTTCTTTTTTATTTTTTATTTTTCCATTTTCTTTTCCTGTGACTTTAGAACAAAGGGAAATTGAGAAGTCGAAGGGCAAAGAAGAAGTACTGAATTGGGAAGACCTCAAAAAGATGAAATACACATGGAATGTGGTGTGTGAGGTAATGAGAGTTTCACCAACGGTCTCGGGAACTTTCAGACACGCCATAACCGATTTCGACTATGCAGGCTTCCGCATACCTAAGGGCTGGAAGGTAAATCACCCAAGCCTTTTTCTTCCTTCTTTATGCGGTCATGATTTATTAAAGGAAAAAGTTTATATAGAGCCTAGGCTCTAAACAATCAAATTTGAGCCTACCTCAAAAATTTTACTAGAAGAGGTTGTTTTGATGCCTACATGTCCTCAAAAAAATGGATTTCAAATTTCATTAGAAGAGGTTGATTTGTAACGCATTTTTTGACCGTCAATTTTCAAGATTTTCAACTTATCATAGATCTCTCGATCTACACTATTTTTTATGGTTTAAACTTTATAAATAAAGATTAAAATATTTTTTAAAGCTATCAAAAAGATTTCCAATATTGAAACCACATTTCTCAACACTATGTGAAAGTAGGCTCTAATTTGATTGTTTAGAACCTAGGCTTTATACAATAAAAAGCAAATGTTTTGATAGGGCTACAGTCGTATTAAAATAAGTAAAGCCACACCTCAAAACTCATGGAAAATTGCAGTTTTAGTATTGGAAAACTTTGAAATAAAGATTATTTCAGCATTGATTATCATGGTTATGAAAAAAAATTTGGATTTTAAGCCCGAAAATAGTATATATTGTAACACATTATCTGAACCATCTATTTCACCCTAAAAAAAAGCATCCACGAATCCGCAAGATCTTAATTATTTGATGGAGCTTCAAAGTTCATAGACTTCATCGGAAATTGATTTTGGAGCAATCATGGAAATATCTAATGGCCAAACTACTTTTTAGACGAGGATTTGAGGTGGGGAAGTATTTGAGGTGAGGCTTTACTTTGGTCAAGGATTCAATGCGAGGGTTTCACCCAGTATTCGAAAAATCGAACCGGCATCGAAAACCAGCCAATGGCCGGTCCGAGTAAGAGGTAAACTAGTAAGGTCAACTGACCTAACCTAGCATGTCCCTGCTAGTTCAAAAAAGTGTTAAAAAAATACAAAAAATACAAACAAAATCTAAAAAATATATGAACAGTATATTTAAAACGCGATTAAACAAAGCACATACAAATGAAGTTGAAACTTAGTAAAAAAAAATTGATTTTAAAAAATTGATTTGTGCTTAAGGGTATTTTAAAACTTTTCAAAAAAGATAGGAAAAATATAAAAATAAGTAATCATGGAGAAAACACTTTTCGATCTTTGTCAAAATGATACAAGAAAAAACATTAGAAACCAAACCTTTATTTTTAGGGATGTAATATAAACTTTTTGTATTTGTTTTAAAATACCCAATCGGACCACAAAAATCGGATCTGCCAGTGTCGTGTTCCAGTTTGGCCAGCCGGTTCCGAGTTGGACCGGCGGAGTTTACGAACACTGGTTTCACCTGAGGTAGTAAAATCATGATATATGCTCACATGGGAGCACATTACCGTTTGCCAATTGTAGAATAATTTTGTTCATGTCGAATTGTGGATGCAGCTCCATTGGAATGCGCATACTACACACAAGATGGAAGATTATTTTCCAGAACCTGAAAAATTCGACCCCTCTCGCTTTGAGGGAGAGGGTCCACCACCTTACTCATTTGTGCCTTTTGGAGGGGGACCACGTATGTGCCCTGGGCTTGAATTTGCAAGAGTGGAGATGCTAGTCTTCTTGCACAATTTGGTGAAGAATTATAAGTGGAAATTGGTTTTCCCAAATGAGAAGATTCTCATGGATCCTATGCCTCTTGCTGCAAAGGGACTCCCAGTTCACCTCCTCCCACATCTGCAGCATTCATGATTCTCTCTCTCTCTCTCTCTCTCTCTCTCTGACATGGCTTGGTTTTCTATGGAACAAAAGTCCATAAGTGTAACATGATTTGTGTACTTGTACCTCAATAATTTTTCTACTTTATAGATTAATTACTTCCACAAGTTATCCAAGTGTTCTACGTCGCATTAAGGCGCGTTGTCACAAGGGAAATGTTTTGAAGGGAAATTACTTTCCCAGTAAGTCAATTTAACAAGAATAAGAATTTTTCTGAAATTTTTTACCTAATATGTAGGAATTGTATATCTATTTATCTATATTACATGGTCACAATTTCTCCAAGCTATGAAGAATCTTAGGTTTCTCAGAAGAGACTCAATGTCCATTAATCATGTAGGAATTGTATACTATAGGACTATTTATCTTTATTAGATGGTCACAATTGCTCCAAGCTATGAGGAGTCTCAGGTTTCTCAAAAGAGACTCAGTGTCCATTAATCGTATGAATATACAGGTTTGTCTTTTATAAATAAATTATAGATGAAAAAATATAAAAATAAATCACAAATTCTTATACTATACCCACATATTTCTATATTATACACAGACTTACCATAAATACAAGTATCTACCCTTCCCAATTTTATAGATTACAATATACATCTTCCATATTAACCTGGTAGACAATTTATGATTTTTTTTCACACTCCCCTTAAACACAAGATGCTATGAGAGAGAGCAGCGGAGTTTCAACATATGAGTTGAAACACGACTCAAAGGCCTCACCATGGGACTAGAAATCAATTAAGTCAGTGGGGATTTGGGGTTCTACCCTTTGATGAGAATGGAGTTAGAGAGCTCACCATGTCGCTCAGCAATACTACCACCAAGGTCCCATGCCATTCTCGCTTACATGTAATGCTGAAGATAAGAGCATGTAGTTTTATGAGGAATGTTTTACTATTGATAATAAGGGAAATTTATCAAAGGAAAAAGCTTATATAAGGTTGCAACCTTAAACTATAGATTTAAAATTTTATAATTAGAAATGAAAATAGATTCTCAGACCATTTGAAAAAAAATTGATATCAAAATCGCATCTTATGACAGAGTTTTGAGGTGTACCTTACTATGATTGTTTAAGGTTGCAATCTTATACAAACCACACCTTTTATTAAAGGACATGGTTTCTACGAGTCCATGTAGAAATGAGTCAATCTTAAAAATCTATTTTTGAGATGGATTTTTGGACTTAATTTTTAATGAAGTGTAATCTCTAACATGGAGATCATGAGTATGAAAAACAAATAAAATTTGAAAATTAAAAATAATTATTTTATTATTTTATTAAGAAATCATTTGGACTGTTAGTTTCAATTGTTTTTAGAAAGACCACCTATTTGCATCCATCTTTAAGATAAATGCTTTATATCTCGAGGAACGCAAATATAGAAATGTAGTCCTCGCCGCATGAAACAATTTTCCTTTATCAAAATTAACCTTGCTTTTCAATTACTTAACAGTTTATTCTTTTTAACCAAATAAAAACGTGAATTTATTAGGGGCACAATATTATATAGAACTAAAATAAAATATAAACATGTGGAGAAAAAAATAAAGGAAAATATAGTTTGAACCATTTGTGTAGGTCCCCCAATATATTTTTCCTGCACTGAAAATGAAAGTGAAACAACCGACCCAAATGGGGCCCTAAAAAATGATCCTTGCCATCAAATATTGTTACATGCATGGCACATGTCACATTATAAAAATCGTTCTACGCAGCTGATTATGTCACATATATATTTTTTTAATTTTGGCAATTTTTGAAGTGGCCGATACAACTTCATCATCATCAGAGCTTTATCCCAATTATTTGGGATCGGTTATACAATTCATTTTTTCGATATTCTGCTCAATTAAAAGTCATACTTTTAGTCATACCATAAATTACTATATATTTCCTCTTAGGTCCATACATTAATTGTTATTTTTAGACCAGTCATTGCCGTTCATTTTTAATTCTTTACAGATTCTTTGATTTACACTAGTTTTTACATCATAAAGTCATGGGTTTAAAGCGAAAATGCTTCTTAGATTCACCTGAGAGGTGTTTCATGTGTTAAATCAATCTCTAAGATATGTTACTGTAAAATACAAATAAATAATTTATTTAACGTACAAAGAGGCCATAATCATTACTGCACGTTAAGTTTCAAATTAGGTGGTTATAAAGTATACTTTTTACTATACTCAAACTTATAAAAAAAACTTATGAACTTAATACTACACTCCAAGTCATCATATATGATATATAATGATTGGGAGTAATTACAACAAAGACAATTAGTCTTATAAGATACAATCTCTTTTTTAAATAACTGCTATATTTGAACTCGCCCTTAACGTTTTTCCTCTTTCTTTTCATTTTTGATTTTTTTAATAGTAATGTGTAACTTTTTATTGGCTAACAAAATATTTATCTCTAAAAACAGAGGTTTGGGTCCTAGTGGTAACATCCCACACACCTTAGTTACCGTATTATGGTTTTCATTCCTACTAACACTTAAAAAAAAAAATCTCTCTTAAACTATTTGAAAAACTGAGAGGGTACGGTCTTCTCCACTTAATTACCCGAAAAAAAAAACACAAAAGGTTTATCTCACCTATCTTATTCACGGCATTGCCGATTGAAACACGTTGGTATAACCAGGAAAAGGCAAAAGGAACCACAGAAGCTCGCCGTCATAAAAGCAAAATTGAAAGGCTGATCACCGCCCCAATAGTATTGATGGAACGTTGATGACTATAACGGTCCGTGTTTGAAAAAATGGTGATTCGGATCGGAATCAGCAATTTAGATTGAGAATGTCGGACTGAACCATATCTTATAAAATATCATGAATCGGCAGGTTCTCCTTATGAACCGGCCAAATTCACCAGCTGGTTCTGCCCAAGAACCGGTACGGACTGGCTCCAAATTTTTTGATTTTTTATTCTTTGAAATGGTCGGTTTTAGCACGTACTCATCCCCATTCGGCCGAAACAGATCGAAATCCCTTATGGGCGATCTAGGTTCTGTTTTGTTAAAACCTTGTTGATGACTGGTGCTTGAAAAATCAGACGGTTCCAATCGAAACCTGTCGGTTAAAATGGAACCGGGACCCTTCTGATTACCCCCAGTTTCAGAGTTCTACACTCCCCCACCCCCAAGCCCAACCCAAAATACCCAGATCAAAACCAGCCAATTAGTACACAAACCAGCTAGATTTCTAACTGACCGGACCGGTGTTTATATAAATCGATCTTTATAACATCAATAACAATGGTTTGCAGCACAGAAAGCCAGAAACTCGTGAATAAGTTTTTTTTTGCCATATTTTGGGCTTCTTTTGTGTATTATTGATGTAAATCATTATATTGTATCTATAAAACAACAATTTTGGAATCGAACATCCATAAAAATAAAGTTTCGGATTTAAAATGGCAATTTTTCATAGTTTTTTAAATTTCCGCTATTTTTCAATTAAATCTTCAATGCCGAATCCTTTTTTATCAAATTTGGGGCATTTGATAGATAATCTAAGCCTTTAACAGATTTGTGTTTCAATTTGCTCGAACTACATAAGATTGTGGGTCGATTTTGGTCTGAAACACTACCATTGAAAAAACTTGAGTTTGATCCAAAATTGAAGATTTTTTATCAATTTATAGCTTGTTTTGAATCAAACGAAGTTGTTATTTTTTAGAATCAATACTTCATCTCCCAAATAAATTGGTAAGTTTATTTATGATTGAGTAATTTTTTTATATGAAGTTTTTTTCTTACTTGATGTGACAAAAATTTTATAGGTCTAAAGTTTATGCCATTTTTTAATTTAAATCTTCAATACTGAATCATTTTTTATGAAATTTGATGCGTTTAAAAGATGATCGAAACTTTTACAATGCATGTATGTTGATTTGTTCAATTATCAAAAGATCAAGGGTCGTTTTTTACTCGAAATGTTGCTTGATTTTAGGGGTTTTATATTTTTCTAAAAAAAAATTATTTTTCTTAATAAAAGTATGTCTTTTGATGAATATGTGAATAAGTTTTTTTTTTTTGTTTTTTAATTGTCTTCTGTTTTATTGTAATGCTATATTTTTTTTAAAAAAAAAGAAATCATTTTGCTTAAGAAAAAATGTTTTTTCTATTGTTATATCGTTTTTTAATATTGTTGTATTTTTTATCTCTTTTTTTTTAAAAAAAATATTACATTTAGACTTGAATACATATGTAAATGTTTTTTTCTGTTATTTTCATTTTTAATAATCCTGCATGTTCCTATTTTTGTTTTATGATGAATATTACGACTTAAAAGACAGTTTCGCCCAATGAACCTTGATTGCAAGCAGTAACCTGACCCCCTCATCTCTCTCATTACTGCTAGCTATTAGTAGTTAGAGATTGGAACTCCCTCCATTAAATTAATGTCAATTTCTAAATTATCTTGCATACCTCCATAGTCTTCATATATTAATATATATAAAACGTTTTTAAAAAATTTTTAAAGATAATTGTAGGTCATAAGATAGCATACACTTAATTTATATAAGTTCTTTGAAAATTTTTAATTTGGGGGACGGAGGGCGGGGGGGGGGGGGGAAGGGAGGTTTTGACCCATTTAAAAAACAAATTCTACCAGACCAAACTGGCCCAGTTAACCACCTAGTTAGCCCAGTTTCAATCTAAATGCTTTTGGCTCCATGTCTTGTTAACTTTCCTGGTGCGATTTTTCGAACAATGATAACCATGCTTCTTATGATGTTCGTATGCTTCATAATTGCGTGGAAATGTGTTTTGGCTTTTGGTTAACCACTCATCCTATCAAAACGTGATGCAAGGGGACGATTCGAGAAATCCCAAAGGTTAGAGCTTGTGAAAGGAAAGTATATATTGTATATCAGGTTAATATAGAAGGTGTATATTGTAATCAGTAAATATGGGAAGGGTATAATATTATGTCTTGTATTTTATGGTAAGTATGGGCATAGTTTAGATATCTATGATTTAGTTTCTATTAGTGACATCTGTAATTTATCTATTAAAGACAAGTATGTATATTCATATCAATTAATGAACACTAAGTCTCTTTAAAGAAACTTGAAACTCTTCACATAGTATCAGAGCCAGATTCATCTTAGTTGTGTCTATTCCTCA